TTTTCTCTTTTGCCAAATGTATACATGGACAAGTTAGGCAAGTCCAATATTGAACCTAATCAAAGCAAGTAGTACCACAACATTTGTGGATTGGAATACAAGATACTAGGGCATAGCAAGTCATAGACTTGGTATTTTAGAGAAAGAAACAGCATAGACGCGGCGAAGACTGGAGCTAGTTGACTGACAGTTTTATCAAAGACGTGGTCCATGTAGCAAAGGCGTGACCACGAGACTTACTCAGAGGCTTTAGCCTCGAATCAGTAATCCAGGTGCAAGGGCTGGGCGAATTGCGCCTCGAATGGCACAGTTGGGGAGACAGGGGTCGAGTGAAATACGTGTACCAGGGTGATAGCAGACGGATTCTACGGGAGACTCTGATAGGACTCAGGGAAGGAGGACTACGTAACAATATAACAGACTCAGGTCAACATTCCCAACACAAGGATGAAGTGATACCACAACTGTTTAGCCCACGTTTTGTCAAAGGATAGGCTTACTTGTCTCTTTGACGAGTTGTTGTATGGTTCTAAGAATGGCGAGACTCACTGATGATGCCGGCGAAACGATTGGGAATGTACCCTGTTCAGGTTTCGACTTTGGAACTTATTATGCATACAATGGACTCCGGACTAGGTGTGTTCCTGTAAATCTTCCTACCTATATGACCAAGTTGCGAAAAAAAGGTCAAACAACCTCTATACAATGAAAGAAGACTGCGACCACACAAAAGGCCACACCATCTTGGTATTCATACTTTCGATTAGATCATGAAATGCTTAATACTTATGGCAATGTAAGAAATAAAAAGTAAGTAGAATTTCACTAGGGCACATTTCTTGGTTTTGTGTTTTTTGTGATTGTTCATGAATAATGCTTTCTGGCTCTGCCTTTTCCTCGTGTCCTTATTTTGCCATCATGCCTTCTTTCGAAGATGATATGCGAATTGGTGAGAAAGAAGGGGATAAAAACAGTGTTTAAATAAATCCTCGCACGTTCTTTTGTTATGCCATCTTTTAGAGAGAAATATGACCCATTATCGAGATCCGGCTGCTCCTCTGATCGACCTCATGCTAGTGAGACATGCCGACCTATTCTACACAGAGTTGGGAAACACAAAAATGCGTATAACGCAAGCTGGGTCCAACAGTCAGAATTGGCCGAGCATGCAGGCCAGAAGCTGGACATGAGATAGAATGGTCTCAAAGGAGTAGGTTTGCCGATTATGACACGTCTGCTGCTAACAGGCCGATAAGAAAGGCTATTAAAATTGATAGATTAGGGAATGCGTTGAAGGTGAGGAACTGTGGTAGAAAGTTGAGTATGAACTACTTATGCTTGATTGAAAGATTGAAGAAGAGAGATGGTGTTGAGCCGCCATCCAAAAGAAGACGAATCAACTTGTATGCTCACGGATGGTTTTAACTCCCACTCGTTCAACATGCTGTATTCAGCTCATCAGCCAAACAAGACGTACCAGATTACGCAGCCCCAGTCATGCCTTTCATTGGGTGGCTATACGTTAACGACCCTAGACTGAGAGGTTGAGACAGATGGCTTCGTAACTTGACTTACACACTTACAAGCTTACATCTCATTATCTAAATTATACTTGCTTAAGGACTTACGCACTCTCGGTCATGGCTTCTTCTTGAGTCATTAAGCCTTGATTACCAGAGCCTGACATTAGCCTTTTTTGATCACTTTGATTTAAGAAATATATTGCGTATAGACGTCAATACACACACACGCAGACACATAAAACTCGGACAAAAGTAGAGGACCAATACGAAAGATAATTAGCCAAATCATTCTATATCTATCTAGGCCTCTTAATTTTCTTATGCTTAATTGAGTCTAGAGAAGCTAGACTAGAGCTAGATAGTGTTCTTGACCGAGCATCAACGGGAGACATATACAAGCATGAGATCAAGCTCTGGTAATGTCCATCATATTATGAACGAAAGCTCAGCCCATTTTTACCCAAAACGAGGGAGGATGCCACGTGGACTGCGTCAACCTGAACGTGGTATTAAAGCCAAAAAGCTGCAGTACAATGGGAATCAGCCTTCCTCTTCTGGTAAGATAGGCCTTCGAATCTCTTCCTCATGCACTTTCATATCCAGCTAGTATAGTTATATATAAAAAAGTTATGACCACAACCGCTCCACTTCCTGCATCATTTTGACCTGCTTACATGCATGTAGGGCAAGCATAAAACAGCCAACCAAATGATGGAGATACAAGAAGTATGTAGGATCTCAGCTCGC